TGGGAGGCAACCAGTCAATATTTCTCTCTCCCTCTCTCTAGAGAATCAATGAAAAACATATACTTGGATGAGGATTTTTTAAAATTTTTGGAATTATTCTGAAATGTATTACCATGAATTTTAAACATGTTTGTGTTTTGTTTGTTATTTTGAAATTTCCTGAGTAAGAGGTTTTCAGAAAAGGAGAGCATCAATTCTGAGTCATTATTAAAATGAATTCCAAAAAAAAAATGAATTCCTTTATTTCTATATTTAAGATTATTCCTATGGTACAAATTATATGATTTTTTAAGAAATATAAAACGCTTCATGAATTTGCACATCATTCTTGCACAGGGGCCATGCTCACCTTCTCTGCATCATCCCAATTTTAGTATATGTGCTCCAAAGAGAACACCAAATGATACAATTTTAATATAAGTGTGAGTATACATGACGTTTTTCGCTTAATGTATTTTCCTTGTGTGCATAATGATATGCAAAACTCATGCTTTCAAGAATTGTATTTTGCCCTGGCTGGGATGGCTCAGTTGGTTGAGCTTTGTCCTGTGCCCCCAAAGGTTGCCAGTTTGATTCCTGGTCAGGGCATATGCCCAGGTTGCAGGCCCAATCCCTGGTCATGGTGCATGTCAGGAGAGAGCTGATTGATGTTTCTCTCTCACATCGATGTTTCTCTCTTTCCCCCACTTTCCCTTCCTTTCTCTCTAAAAGTCAATCAATAAAAACATATATATTTTTTTACAAGCCCAGCTGGCGTAGTTCAGTGGTTGAGAATCAATTTATAAGCCAGAAGGTCATGGTTCGATTCCCAGTCAGGACACATGCCCAGATTGAGGGCTCGGTCTCCTAGGTAACAAATGTCCACACCTTGGTGCCTTAAACCAACAGACATTTATTTTCTCACACAGTTCTGGAAGCCAGAAGTCTGAAGTCAAAGTGTTATTGGGGTTGGTTCCATCTGGAGACTCAAGAGGAAAATCCTTCCTGGTGTCTCCGAACTTCTGGGGGCTTCCTTGACCATCTTTGGCTTATCTCACACCAATCTCTGCCTCCTCTTCACATGGCATTCTCTCTGTGTCTGTGTTTCTGCAAATTTCCCTCTTCTCATAAGTACATTAGCCAATGGATTAGTGCCAACCCTAATACAGTATAGGGGTTCAGAACAAGTCATCCCAAGAAGTGCCTCTGTGGTACACAGAGTATGGGCTCGAGAGAAACTTCTGTTCCCCTCTCCTTTAACTACCTAAATTTGAATTAGGCAGAGGAAGCTACAAGTGCAAATGTCCTGGGGCTGCATAGAGTTTGCAAAGAAAGCTAGTGTGCCTGCAACAAAGGCCAGCCAAGAGAGGTGGACAGGAATGGGCCAGTTCACAGGAATGTTGGAGGCTTGGGGAAGGAATTTGAATTTTTCATTCATGCAATGGGAAGACAGCCACTGAAAGATTTTAAGCAGAATAATTACAAGATCTGATTGGTATTTGTGTTTATGAAAGCTCGTTCCCCCTGTGTTGTGAGAATATAATACAGGGGGAAAGAAGGGAGGTTGCAGACAGCTAAGAGGGAACTGCTGACACCCTGAAAGGGGCAGAAATAGAATATTGGGGAACCAGCTAGTACAGCCGTGGGAAAACTACGGCCCGCGGGCCGGATCCGGCCCGTTTGAAATGAATAAAACTAAAAAAAAAAAAAAAATAGACTGTACCCTTTTATGTAATGATGTTTACTTTGAATTTATATTAGTTCACACAAACACTCCATCCATGCTTTTGTTCTGGCCCTCCGGTCCAGTTTAAGAACCGATTGTGGCCCTCGAGTCAAAAAGTTTGCCCATCTCTGATATCATAAGAAATATTCATCACGCTCTGTTAACCATGATTGTTTTATTATGATTAAAGAGGGCACATTCTATCCTGGCTGGAGCTGACCTGGAGATGCAGCCCTTCCTCCCCATTTGAAGCTGCCTATTATCATGAAAAGATTAACAAAGGTCCTGCAGAAACCAGAATACCAGCCCTTTGAGGATCCCCAGCCCTTTTTGCATACCTGCAGGCCTTTGCAAACCTCCAGCCTGCTTACCTATTAATTGCCCATCTGGCACTCCCTTTGGCCATTTGCCCATGTAACCCCAGCCCTTGCATATCACTAAGCCCTTTGAAGACCCCTAGTCCTTTTGCATATGTGTAAACTTCCCTTTTGCTATATAAGCAATTGGCTTATGGTGGGCTGCAGAGCAGATTTTTGTGGCTAACCTGCTGCTCTCCCATACTGCCAGCAATGCTATATAATAAAAGCCTAATATGCAAATTGTCCCCTCGGGTGGTCTTTCAACTGACAGGGAGTTCGACCACTCACTATGATGTGTGCTGATCACCAGGGGGCAGTGCAGAACATGGCAGGCGTCGGCTACACGGCACTGGCAGCAGGTGGCATTGGAGGCATTGCCAGCCCCAGTGGGCCCCAACGAGAGCAGGACTGCGGCGGGATGGGGGGCCGGGGCCGATTGACGGGTTGGTGGGGGAGGAGCAGCTCTGTGCAAAATGATGACAGAGCATGGACACGTGTCAAGGCTTGCATTTGGAAATCTCCCCACCATGCACCTTTACTTAATGGAGATAAATGTTGTAGGAGAGGGAAAAAGTTTTTCTAGGTTCTTGGCTGAGATACCCGTGTAATAAAATACAGATTAACAGGAGAAATACAAATTTAATTATGTACGTATGTATGGGAGCCCCACAAAGTTATGTGACTGCAAGATGTGACCAGAGCAGGAACTTTTTGTACCTTTTAGACAAAGAAACAATCAATTTGTGAAGAGTTGATAAAGCAGGAGGATCTGGGCTGGGGATAGTAAACAGTGAAGAATTTACAAGGTGTGTTTATATAGCCTTCTGGGCCCTAAATTCTCTATCTCTGGGGATAAGAATGCCTTCTACCCTCTAGGTATAGTGAGGGCACTTTTCACCTGAGGGTCAGAGTGTTCTTGCACCAGCTGTGGAAATAATGAAATCCTTTCTCTTGTTATCAAGCACGACCCTTCAAAGGACAAATTCTTTTCTACCATGTTAGCATTCTATAGCTCCCTGGTGGTTGAGTCTGATGGTGTAGACAGAGTAGACCCCAGCCCCAGCATCTCTGCTTGGACAAAGACCTTGACTTGGCATAAATGCATATATGTGATATGAGAACATCCCAAAGGCCCCAAGGCTCCCCATCACTAAGCTAGAAAGTCTCCTTATTGCCGCTCACAGACCTTTCTATTGGAAGGTTCCATCACCTGGACCTATACCTGGAAAAGTGTCCTTGGCCAATATTCATGTCACCTCCTACCTGATCTTACTTATCTTGGATTCCTCAGGTTGTGCCTCAGAGGTAGGTTTCATTAGGCGGCCTCTCTGTCTGATTTACTGGATCTTAAAAAAACACACACAGCCCTAGCTGGTTTGGCTCAGTGGATAGAACGTCGGCCTGCATACTGAAGGGTCCCAGGTTCTATTCCAGCCAAGGGCACAGGCCTGGGTTGTGGGCTCGATCCCCAGTAGGGGGCGTGCAGGAGGCAGGTCATCAATGATTCTCTTTCATCTTTGATGTTTCTATCTCTCTCTTCCTCTCCCTTCCTCTGTGAAATCAATAAAAATATATTTTTTAAACACACACACACACAAACACACACACACACACACACACAGCACATCAAAACATCAGAATGAAGGCCTTAGGGTCAAAATTCCAGCTTGAAGATCTGGATTCAAAAGCATGGGTTTCTTGACCTGCTCATTGTATACGTTTCAGTGAGTTCCTTAATCTCTCTGAGAGCCTCCTATTCTTCTTGGGTAAAATAGGAATGACAACATGCCCATCTATAGCATTTTTAGAGAGAAAGGAAGGGAGAGAGAGAGAAACATCGATGTTATAGAGAAACATCGATGTAAGAGGGAAACATTTATTGGTTGCCTCCCATACGCACTCCAACCGGGGATCAAACCCACAACCTAGGTATGTGCTCTTACTGGGAATCGAGCCTGCCACCTTCTGGTATATGGGATGATGCTTCAACTAATTGAGCCACAGAAGTCAATTTTATGTTCTAGCTTGGAAAATGGCCATAATACACTATTAGGTGGGGGGGCGGGGGGAATGTCACAGAATAGTATTAAGGGGTAATTTTATTTCCATCTAAAATTTAAATATCATATACATATGTTAATATATACATTTTTTAAAAACTTGGAAAGAAGAGAATAGAATGCGCCATTAAAGCAGTTATTAAATGCCTACTATGTGCTAGGTGTTGAGAACATACAGATAAATAAGAAATTAGAATGTCACTTCCATGAAGGAAGAGAAGTTTGCTGTTTTGTTCTCTGTTATTGCCCCAGTGTCTGGCATATAATACATACTCAATAAATATATATGTAACAGAAGGAAGTGAGGGAGGGAAGGAGGGAGGGAGTCCCTGTTCCCAAGTGGCTCATAGCCGAGTGTTGACACAGATGTGTGAACAGATGACTTTTCTGAAAAGGACACTGCAGAGAACTCTGGGAGAAAAAGGCTCCTAGTTGGTAGGGGTTTGGCATAAACCATCTCTCATCCTTATGGCATCACCCCCCTTTCACAGAAGTTGGTTGCAAAGTCATGGCCATGCAGCCCTTTTCAAACTCCAAGCTTATCTGGCTACAGGAGCCCTCCTCTTTCAGGACAGCGCTTGGCCCTATAAAGGAGAACCAGATTATCCAGGCTGAGCTGGGGGCAGAAGTGCTGGTAATGAACATCTCCAAACTGGGTCTTAGCGAGCCAGAAACTCGGAAAACAACGCCTTTTGTCAGTATCTGGGGGAAATTGTCTTCAGACAACTCAAAGGTGACACCCAATGTCACTATGGGGAACTACACAGAAACCCTACAGTGGTTCTGGAAGAGGGAGGATGGGAGACCCTTGCTGTTAACGATTTTATTTCTGGGTTCTTCTCTGATTCTTTTCTGATAGCTTTAGCTTAATTACAGTTGCATGGGAATAGCAGAAGCCTCAAGTGGAAACACAGATTCGGGCTAACACCTTTCCAGGGACTAACTAGTCATCCAGATCTGGTAAGAACCTCTGTTCTCCCTCTTACCTACTATGTAGCCTTGGACACTTTCCTTCATCTCCGTGAGCTTCAGTTTTCTCACTTGTGTAATGGAGATAATGATACCTATTTTGCAAGGCTGCCAAGTATAGTAAATGAGATCAACTATGTGCACATTATAAAACAGAAAATGTTAGCAAGTGATGCCATTACTGAGGCCTTATTGAGCCTTACTAAGTAAGCATTTGACATACACTGTCTTTTTTTAAATCCTCACAACAACCCTACTATTTCTTTTTTAAAATATATTTTATTGATTTTTTACAGAGAGGAAGGGAGAGGGATAGAGAGTTAGAAACATCAATGAGAGAGGAACATCGATTCTGCTGCCTTCTTCACATTCCCTACTGGGGATGTGCCCGCAACCAAGGTACATGCCCTAGACCGGAATCGAACCTGACGCTCTATCCACTGAGCCAAACCGGTTAGAGCCAACCCTACTATTTCTATCTCCACTGTGTAGGTGGGAAAAACTGAGGTCCAGAGAGAATGGCCAAGGTCATTGTTAATAAGTGGCCAAGCTGTGATTCAAATCCACGCCATGGACTTCATGAAGAGCATCCACTGTGAATCAGGAACCTACAGTGGTTTGAGTGTATAACTGTTAAGAAAACTAGATTAAATGTATCCAATTATAAAATGGTCAATGGAGCTGTGGCTGGTGTGGCTCAGTTGGTTGGGTGTCATTCTGTGCACCGAAAGGTTGTAGGTTCAATCTCCAGTCTGGGCTCATATGAGAGGCAACAGATTGATATTTGTCTCTCTCTCCCCCTTCCTCTCTCTCTAGAATCCATGAAAAACTTATCCTCAGGTGAAGATTTAAAACTAAATAAATCTTCCTCACTCTCCCTGCAAAAACACTACTGTTTTCTGGGTTTCAGGCTATTCCTATCTACTGCAGACACCTAGGTTCAAATCCCAGCTCTGATAGTTACTAATTATGTGACCTCCAGCAAGTTACTGAACCTTTTTCAAAGCTTTGGTTTATCTGTATACATAAAAGCCTAATATGCAAATTGTCCCCACAGGAGTTCAACTGGGAGACTGATTGCTCACTATGACATGTGCTGACCACCAGGGGCAGCATGGAATGAAGGCCCTGACCAGCAGCTGGCAGCCAGAGAAGGGAGGCTGTGGCCGGCAGCTGGAAGGCCCCAATTGAGCCTGATGGCTGGCCAGGCCTAGGGAACCTTACCCATGCATGAATTTTGTGCACCAGGCCTCTAGTTAATCTATAAAACAGAATCAGAATGCTTCCACCTAAGATGGTGGCATAGGTAAATGCAGTACTCGCATCTTCCCACAATCATATCAAAATTACAACTAAACTACAGAACAACCATCATTCATAACTGCCTGAAATCTAGCTGAACAGAAGTCCTATAACTAAAGATAGAAAGAAGAAGCTACATTGAGACTGGTAGGAGTGGCTGAGACTCAGAGCAGGCTGGTCCCACACCCAGGTGTAGTGTTTAAATGTTGGGAAGAATATCTCGCTCTGGAGAGCTACCCTAAGGAGCAGAGGTCCCAAACCTACACCAGGCCCCACAGCCCAGGGTTCTAGTGTCAGGAAGAGAACCATAACTTCTGGCTGTGAAAACCACGGGATTGTGGCTGAGTGAGACAGAGGGTTCCTGGAGTCCCAGCCATTCCTCTTAAAGGACCCATGCACAGATTTACTCAGATTCACTTGCTCTGAGCTCCAGTGCTAGGGCAGCAGCTTCACAGGCACCAGGGACACACGGAGGAACTGAATCTTCTGGCTTTGGGGTGAGAGTTGAAGAGCCAGTTCTCTCCCAGACGGAAGTGCTGGCAGAGGTCACTGTTCTTTGCTGAGCTCTCCCCTCCACCTCAGAGCTGACACGTGAATACCATATCTGAGTTTCCATCAACACTGTTTACCCTGCCCTGGTGATTCCCTGTAATTGCCACCCTACCCAACTTGGGGGCCCACCCAAACTGCTTCCAGTGGTGTTTCCATCCAAACAACCTGTCTTGGTTCATGCTGCAAACTTTCCTAAAATTTCTCAGAGGTTCACAAACCCCGAACAAGCCACATCTGGCCTCAGCGTGGCCCATACCTCTTGCTAAGTGGCTGTCCAGACCCCTTGGTTTGCAGCCTGGCCTCTCCTGGGCACCTCCAAGCCCAGCACAAGTAGCAGCCATCTGCAGATTGCTTTGTAGCTCATGCTCAGATAGCCCCGGGCAGAACACAGGTGATGTTCAATCTTGCCCTGCACCTCCCGGGAGGCCCCAGAGCCAGCACACCTCATGGGCAGTTTCAACTATGCTGAAGCACCACTCAACCACCTTCATGAGCAACATGCTCAAGGGGCAGACTCAGCAGAGCCCCACTAAAGAGAGTCCTGCTCTGTGGGGTCAGCCCCTCCACAGAAGCTCCACTGTAGTTGCTGTAGTATCAGCCAGTCCTCATTGCCCATCAGCCAAGGGTAAATCCCTCCCATTGACATGCCAACAGTGATCAAGGTTCAAATACAACGGGAGGGTCACACAGCCCACACTGGGGCATGGCACACTTGGAGCAGCCAGCTCAGGTGACTGGGGAAGCTGTGCCACTGGGCCCTAGTTCAAAAGGTCACTCTACCAAGACTGGAGATAAAGCAGCTCTACCTAATAGAAACAATTACAGGGAGGCAGCCAAAATGAGGAGACAAAGAAACAGGTTCCAAATGAAAGAACAGAGCAAACTCCAGAAAAAAAAGAAAAAGAAAACTAAATAAAATGGAGACAAGCAATCTACCAAATGCAGAGGTCAAAACACTAATTATAAGGATACTTAATGAACTTAGCAGAAGATAGATGAACTTAGTGAGAATTTCAACAAAGAGATGGGAAACATAAAAATGGCATAGAAAATGCTTTTTAAAAGTCAGAAATGAAGAACACATTATAGGGAATCAACAGCAGAGTAAATAAAGCAGAGGATCAAATCAGATATTTGGATGATAAGGAAGCAGAAAACACCCAATCGTTATATGTGTAATCTAAAAAATCAAAATAATCCCTGGCCGGTTTGGTTCAGTGGTTAAGGCATCGGCCCACAGATCAAAGGGTCTGGGGTTCCATTCCTGATTAAGGGAATGTACTTCAGTTGCAGGTTCATTCCAGACCCTGGTCAGGGCATGTGCAGGAGGCAACCAATCAATGTGTCTCTCTCACATTAATGTTCCTCTCTTTCTTCTCTCCTCTCCTCTCCTCTCCTCGTTCCCTTTCACTTTCAGTAAAAATCAATGGAAAAAATATCCTCGGGTGAAGATTTTAAAAAATAATAAATACATAAACAAATAAATAAATAAATGAACAAGTAGACCAGAAACAAACTCATAGATACAGAGAGACAACCAAGATGACTCTACCTAGAAAAGGTATCATTTAGAATTGAAGGACATATAAGGAGCTTCCCAGGTAAGAAAGAGCTCATCACCATCAAACCAGTATTATATGAAATGTTTAAGGATCTTCTTTAAGGGAAAAAAGAAAAAATATATGAATAATAAAATGGAAAATATACATATCTATCAATAATTACTTTAAATGCAAAGGTCTGGGGGGATAGGTGAAAAAGGAAGGGATTAAGAAGTACAAATAGGCAGTTACAGAATAGTCATAAAGATATAAAGTAGAGCATAGGGCCCTAGCTGGTTTGGCTCAGTGGACAGAGCGTCAGCCTGCGGACTGAAGGGTCCCGGGTTCGATTCCAGTCAAGGGCACATGAGTGTGGCTAAATGGATAAGAAAACAAGACCCTTACATATGTTGCCTATAAGAGACTCACTTCAGATCGCAAGACACAAACGTATTAAAAGTAAAGGGATATTTATTGGAAATAACCAGTAAATATTAAATGGAAATGAAAAAAAAAAATAAAGCTGAGGAAGCAATACTTATACCACACAAGATAGACTTCATATTAAAAGTAAAGGGATATTTACTGGAAATATCCAGTAAATATTAAATTGAAATGAAAAAAACAAACAAACTGGGAAGCAATACTTATACCACACAAGATAGACTTAATAAATAAATTAAGTACAGCATAGGGGATATAGTCAATAACCTTGTAATAACTATGCATGGTATCAGATCAGTTCATAAGTTACATAAATGTCCAACCCCTGAACCTGAAACTAATATAATATTGTACATCAACTGCTCTAAATTGAAAAGACATATATAGATATATATAAAAGCCTAAGTGACTGTTATGATTGAATGACCAGTCAACCAGTCGCTATGATGCACACTGACCACCGGGGGCAGACGTTCAACACAGGAGCTGTCCCCTGGTGGTCAGTGTGCTCCCACAGCCAACCTCCCACAGCTGTCCAACCTCCCGCGGTCCCTCCCTCTCCCCACCCCACCGCAGGCCAGCTGGCAAACCTCCTGCAGTTCCTCCCCCATCCCCCGGGCCAGACAACCTCCCACAGTCCCGATCTGGACTGGGAAAGATGGCTCCAATGGGCCCCGATCACCGGCCAGGCCAAAGGACCCCACCCGTGCACAAATTTGTGCACCGGATGATCCAGCATTCCACTTCTGGGTATTTAGCCAAAGAAATCCAAAACTTTAAATTGAAAAGATATATATCTATATATATAAAAGCCTAAGTGACACCAAAAATTATTTTAAAAACCAAATCAGTAAAAGTAGCTATCTCTTACAGTTGTTATGAGGAATAAAGGTGATGCACGCAAATGACTTAGCACAGTGCCTCAGGAACATGCACCTATTACATGTTAATTACACATTGTAGTTACGGTTGTTGTTGTTATTATTATTATTACTATTAATGTTGTCCCATCTGAAAATAAAGAGGAAAGACACCTGTTGGCAATGGCTTTCACAGAATCATTTTGAGACAGGCCAGGCAGCCAGGACAAGTGGAACGGGGAAACTGAGACAGACAGCTGAACAAACGGGCAGAGCAATTCACAGCAGATCCAGGAGGTCACCTCCTTAGAGAGCATGTCTAGGCCTCAGTTGTATTTCAGATCCAGGCCCAGAAAAGCAGCAAAACTAGACAATCTATGTGGCGATGCTCGCTGAAACACACAGACAGGGGTAGATGGTGCTGTTGGCTGCTGGCTCCTTCGTCGATCGATAGTTAATTGGGCAGAGTTTCGTGCTGGGAACCGAGACATGAACACACACAGGTCCTCCTGTAATTGTTGGTCTTCAAACTTTTTTGGTTGACCTGGACGTTCTTTGTCTTTCACATCGAAATCATCACTTTTAAAGCATTTAAACGAGCATTCACAAGTATCTTGAGGTGGAGCACATTCACCATAAGCTTCCTGAAGTATACAATAACTTTCAGCAGCACTTTTCTTCAGAATAAATAATGAATTAAAACTTCCTGCAAATGCTATTTTTGGCACAAAATTCAACATTTTTTTAATGTTGAATTGCCCCACCCACCAGTCCCACCCCAGACAAGCCCCCACAC